GTGTGTATTAGGCTTATATACAACAAGGTTCCTGAAAGTAATCTTTAATTTCTGTTACCTAGAATCCTAATATTTAGCTGAAATTCTAATTTCTACTGGGGTTCCAAATCCCTTAGAGTATAGGGATAATGGAAATGACAATGGAAACTACTCTGTTATGCAGGGTTGAGGGTTTAGGCTTTTCAGTGGGAAGTGGGATCTGTGTGTATGCGTGCTTTGGGTTGCAGGTCAGGGTGAAGAGAGAGATATTATGACTTGCTACCTGTGGGTCTGTCAAGTTCAGGGCCCTTCGATGAGGATCCTGCTTGTAGTTTGGCGGGTTGGGGGAAGCTGATGTTAAGACTCGGCCAGTTTCTAGGTATTGTGAGTCCAGGTTAGGGGCTGTTCGTATCCTGGGGCTTAGTAGGCAAATGCCCCGAAGCATCCATGTAGCTTCTGGCTAGAGTTGCCGCATGGCCATGGCCACGCAGCACAGCCCAGGTGCAGCTTTGGGACGGCGCCCTCGCCCCAGAACAGCCAGCATTTTCCATGATTTCGTGGCATCAAAGCTCAGATGGATCTAGGAGCCATCCGAGACTTAGATTCCTTGAGGCGTTGACTGACGCAGATCTGGATCACCTTCTGGCCCAGTTCTCCGAAGCCCCTAGGCCTGCATGATGGCGGGGCAATTCTTGTACCCAATCATCCGCGACCGCCACCGCTTCACCAAGAGGCCCTCTTCAGGAGCTTTCATAATTCATCCGTCCTTGTTGGAGACACATGCCTCTGTGTAAGGCCACGTTGCGTGGGATGTGGCGCCATGCATATACAGGATTATATAGGGGACTATTATAGGGGTTATAAAGGGGAATGCTAAGAGTTTAGCCCCTGAACCTTAAGCTCTATATTATAGGGGTTATTAAGGGGGATACTAGGAAACCTAAACCGCCTAAACCCTACATTATAGGGGTTATTAAGGGAGATACTTGGAGTTAAGACCCTAAACCTGAACCCTAAACTATAATGGTTATTAAGGGGATGCTAGGCGCTAAGACTATAGCTCCTGTGAATCACTTGCGTGTGAGGCTCTGGCTTGGTCCGACCCGCAACAGCTCCGCTGCCCGTCTGACATCTTCTCGACCAAGCAAGGCTCGCAGGGTTTAGGGTTTTGGTACTGGGCTAGTAGGGAATATATTGGGGCTATATGGGAATAATGGAAAAGAAAACATTGCCATAGGGTATATATTGGGTTTGTGTAGATTGGTACTAGATGAGCTATAGTCTAAACTGTGGGGGTCATATAGGGGATTACATAGGGGACGGAATAGGGTTATTAAGGGGGATACTAGGAGTTCAGACTATGGCTCCGTTGGTGGCGCTTTTCCTCACATGTTGGATCCATATTTGCGGCTCACATGTTGGAGTTTCGGGGTCCAAAAGGCTTCCTTTCTCGTGAGGGCTCAAATGGCTTCTTGTCACCCTGGGAGAGCACTTCATAAATAAACAAGGACACATGAACAGTGACAACCTCCTGTCAGAGAGAGGAGGAAGCAGCTTTTGGATTTACGGGCGGTTTCTTCAGCCCTAAAGCCCCCAGAATACACAGCGTGGGTTGGTGGCCGGCCCTTCAGATTGTCCAAAGGACCTGGTGTCTCTGCCACAACTACCAACATGTATCCTGGCCATGAATAGCACGAGCAAGATGGTTTCAATTTAATAGCATTCCCAGGCTCCTCATAAAAAGATGGCGTACTTCTGCAGATGTTTCAGGTGTGGCAAGTCTGGCTGCCTGCCGGGCCCTTTGCAGCGAGGACCAGCGCTGCGAGTCCGTTCAGTGCGCCGCCAGTGAAGAGGATTGGGACTCACAATCACAATTGCAACAAGAAAGGGTAAAATGCCAGGCAGAACAGTACGTAAGCTCCAGGAACGCTGTGGTGCTTGGATCTTTGGAGGTTCCGGGAGTTTGCGTATCATCCAGTGTCTGTCCGAATCTGGGTTTTGCCGCCTTGACAATTGGTCAGGTACCAGGCCAGCAGCAAGACCTGTGAGCTGCGCAACAAAGAGGCCTGCACAAGGGCTGAAGGCTGCGCGCCTGAGGCTCAGCATGTTGCTGTGCAGCTCAAGTCTTTAGGGTTGTCAAACAAAAATCAGGAGTCCCTTTTGGGAGTTCTTAAATCTTAGTTGTATGGTTGGTTGGTGTAGGGCCCACTAAGGTTCTGAATGCAGCCACGTCTTCATCTTCGCTTTTGCTTTTCTTGTCCCGCCTGGTGGGCTGTTCTTCTCGAAGACAACCAGCAGGGGCGGATTTAGAGAGCCATGGACAATCATTTGCGGGATTTGCTATCCGAACAGCGCGCTTCTGTGAGATCTTGGCTGTCAGCATTGGGAGTGCAGACATGTCAGGATGTTAAGCACCTCTGGGCAGATGCGGCGGCTATGGAGCGCGAATGGTCTAACGGCCCAGGTAAGGAATGTTCAGCCGACTTGGCGCTGGAGGTCGCTGATTTCTACACTAGGGCTTGTCGTTTGGCGCTGCAAGATAGTCGGGCGCAGGTCAGACAACTAGCAGGGGAGCGTGAGTCAGCTTATTCTGCTCCCAAATCGGAGAAGCGTGCTCTGCCTCCTGTAGCTGCTCGACCTCAGTCTAAGGCCAAGTTGTTAGTTCCTCAGCGCTTTGTTGGCCCGGACGTGCCTGTGCTCACTGTCTCGGATTCCAATGCAACCAGTGCCGCAGCTACTGACGAACGGCGCCAGCTGAAAGTTCGTGCACTTTTCTGCTTGGCTCTCGATGTTTTTCTTGTCATTGCGGAAATAGGTCTGGAATCCCTTGACATGTCGGATGAATCTGCAGTTGCACGGGCTACAACACTGGCTATGGTTGCTGTGGGGCGTCTATCCGTAAGACGAATTGCAGCTTTGACCGCCACCCTGAAGCGTTGGAAGACTTTTTGTGCACAGCAGGCCTGGTCGCCGCGTAACTTAACACCTGCTAATGTTGCTGCTTTTCTGCGCTCTGTGAGCTTTGGCGGTCCGACGGCCGCAAGTGCAGTTTTTCAGGCGCTGAGGTGGCTACACTTGAACCTGGCTGCACCTTTTCCTGTGGATCATTTCATGATAAAGCCTTTTCGCTTCCACAGTCTTGGACACACATCCAGACAAGCAGCGGAACTCCAACCATGGAAATTCTTCAACTTGTTGCGCATCGCCGCAGAGCTTACAGGAACCCCACGCATCTTGATGCTCTTTGTATTGCAGGCAGCAGTGTCATGCATACGTTTTGCTCACTTTCAGCGATCCGTGCTCCACAAGGACCATGGGTTCTGGCTGGAGTTTGAGTGTTCGGAGGGCAAGTCTCGCCGTAAGGGTGTGCGCCCGGCGTATAAATGGGCCACACCTGCCCTGAAGTTCGGAGGTGTTGATTTGGTCGCCGAGCTGCGTCGTTTCTTCCAGGAAGAGCTGCTGCCGGATACTCCTTTCTTGTGGCCGGCCATCAGACTGCGAAGTGACGATCTTTGGCAACTGACCGAGGACACTCCTTTTCTGTTGGATCGGAAGCTAAGCGGCCCACGTTTTCTGGACTTGTTCCGGGGTGCACTTTGCAGGTGTGGACTGCAACCGGCCCAGGCTTCTGTGGCTGGCTTCAATCGCCTGCGTCGTTTTCTGCCCACAGGTGCGCAGATGCTGGATATGTCCCCCCAAGATTGTCAGGCGGTCGGATCTTGGGTTGAGCTTCCTTCTGGAGGCGCGTCCTCTGCATCTGCACCCAAGCATACCCGTACCGACCTGATGTCAACGCATTACTCAGGTGAGCGTGTGCTTGCTGTATGCGCGCTAAATCCCGTGTGGTGCAGGCTGTCTTGCAGCATCCAATGTCAAAGGATGCCACTGACGCCACGCTTCCCCCTGACACCCTTAGGTGGCCTGGGTTCTTAGGGGTTTCTAGTCCTGTGACCTCCCCTGCAAAACATTGTCCCCAGCTGCAGTGCCTCGGGCACAGTGAGGCCCATGACGATAGTTCCTCATCAAGGCATCCGAGTGGTGAGATTCTGTGCCGGTTCAGGAGACTGAATGGATTAAGCAGAGGCAGAAAACACATTTCCTTAAGGAAAGGGACACGGAAGGCAGGCCAGTCCCGTGCTGCAGGGATCAGCCATTCTTTCAGGACCCTACAGCATCAGGCACAGGGGTTGCTGCTGGGCATGTGCGCAGTGCCTGCCAGAGGTGCATGTCCCGAATGCCCAGTAGACTGCGTAAGGCACTTCAATCTATCTGAATGCGCTCTGGAAAAGTCTATGGTAGATTCTCCGGCCTCATGCCCCGCAATTGCAAGTCAATCAACTGCTTTTCTCTCCGCAGCCCGTTGGCCTACACAGGAGTGAATCCTCCCTTTGGCCCTCGCGTCATGGCGGAGCTTGCATTGCCGGCATCTTCTACGTCACACGTGCCGCTCAGGGAGCCTGTGTCCTGGAAATTGCCTCGCAAGTTGAGGCGCCGTGGATGCACCATCGTGGGCCATTGCAGGCAACCCTGTGGAGGCTTCTGTGGTTATGCGTGTGGCAGGCCCCTTGCACGAGGTGCTTCCCGTGAACATAGGCATCACATGTGCCTAGTGTGCCACAGGCTCGGCCCTTCACCCCCGCAAGATGGCAATCTTCCTTGGCGGCTTCCTTTGCGGGTACGCCTATCGAGATCCTTGCGAGCCCAGCACTTCGTGGTTCGGGGGTGGTGCTCAGTGCCTTGTGCACGCGGCTGCGGCTTTGCCTGCTCCAAGCCTTTGGGAGCCCCAACATTGGATGCGCCGCCATGTGGTCACTCTCGTCATGTGTGCTCGACTTGCAGACCTGGAGTCGACACCAGCGGAGGTCCAGGTGAGAGGCTGTTTCTTCTCATGCCGCTGGGTCCCGTGACAGGGCAGGGGGCAGTTTCTTGGAGGAGTTAGATTGATGTCTCTTGCCTAGGTAGGGGCGTGCTACTCCCCGGGACTGTGCTTTGCCGGGACAGGATGGGCATTACAAAAGAGTGAGTGCGCGGTGCAGCCATTTGCTGTGCCGTTCCCTCTTGCTGTGCCAACCTTGACCAACACTGTCCGGGAGATGTTCGGATGAACACACATGCGCAGTTTTGTTCAAGTACCCCTGTGTAGGCTTCCATTGCCCGCCATGTCTGCATCACATCAGGTTGACATTCAAGCCTCTGACAGAGGCCTTGCATCCTGTATGCGCCTGGCTCGGGTTGCCACAGCTTGGTCTGAGGCTTTCTTTAAGAAGCACAGCATTGAGACTTTGGATGACTATGTCTATGTAGTTGACAGCACCCGTTGGGAAGCTTCGCTGAAGGAACTTGCCGACGAGTGCCAGGAGCTCAAGGACAACAGGATCGCCTTGGCCCGGTTGAAAGCTGCGTACGAAAGCGGCCAAGCAGCCATCCAACAGTCCCAGGCAGTGGAAAAATCGGACAATGCAGACTTTGATCAGCCGATCCCTGAGAACCAGTTCCAGCAGCTGGATAAAGATTGGAAGTCAAGCTACGGATTCCAGATCGAAGCCCATCTTGATCCCTCAGACAGCCTTCGTGGGCGTATCTGGCGGGAGCTTCGCAGAAGGCAGCTCACTCTCTTGGACCTCAGGAAGGTGAAATCAGTTGTGGGCGGCTCTACCCCTCTTGACGAGGAGCGCATCAATCTTGACTCAGGGGTGGTGCTCCAGTTCTCCAAGGATTCATCCTCAGCACCTAAGAACACTATCGAGTACTACCTCCGCCTCAGGACCCTTGCTTATGCGTGGGCATGGTGTGGGAATTTTCGCCAGCGTTGCTTGGATGGTCAGGATCGCCTTTGCATGCCTCTCAACATTGCATTGGACTATGCACTATGCTGACTTCGCTCTGCGTCATACATCCACATACGGGGCAGGCTCACTGGCATGGCTCCAACGGAACGACCTTCACACTCGTGGGGCGATGTGCGCGAAGGTGAGACGGGGACTCACGGCAGGAGTTGCCTTGACTGAAGCACTCCGTGAGTCTCATTTGGAGTGGAGATCGCCAGGGGCCCGGATGAGTGAGCCGATGCCAGCACCATCCACTCCGAGAGGTGGAAAGCGGAAGTTTGATGATGATATCCCCACACCTCCTCCCGCACCATCTGGGCAGCGCAGGGTTCAGACAATTTCCATGATCCGCGGTGGCCGTAAGATTTGCAAGGAGTGGAATGATTCCAGAGGGTGCAATAAGAAGAATTGCGACAGCATTCATGGGTGCGACGTCCGCCTTCCGGATGGCAGTGCCTGCCTGAGCAAAAGCCACAACCGCATGACGCACCCGTCATCGTGAAGCAGGGATCCCCCTCTGAGGCCCCCTCCGGCAGAGTTTCCTGAGGCCACCATGGGCGCAAAACCGTCTGAGCAAAGCAACCCTGCGCCTGAAGGCCTGGACCCGGAAGCTACGGCGGGGGACCTCCTCCTGAGGGCTGACTGGTCAGAGGAGTCTTGTGTCAGGTTGTTACGCACAGCGTTTTCACATCCTGTGCCCAACCGTCGTGCAGGGGCCCTGGGTCCAGGTGACAAGGTGCATTATTTTGTGTTGGGTGGTTTCTCTAAGAAGGGGTTAGTTGGGATCTCCCCCTCTTCCAGGAACCTTCCTCGAACCTGCCAATACATTAATAAGTGGTTGCAACGGGTCTTCCCGGGCCAATCGTGGGCGAGCATTGCCATTGCCCACAACCACAGGGTTGAACCACACAGAGACTCATCCAATGAGCCTCAGTCCTTCAATCATTCTGTTTCGTTGGGCCCCTTCTCTGGAGGACAACTCCTTGTTCAGGATGATTGCCGGGGATCTGTGCGTATGGCGGACCCTCTTTCTGGACAGGAGGTTTGGGGTACCCCTGTCACCACCAAGATTGTGGGTTATTCCTTCCCGCCATCCTACTTGCACTGCACGATGCCTTGGCAAGGAGATCGCTGGTCAATGACTGCGTATACCCCTGCGGGCCTGGATTCGCTTTCAGCTCCTCACAGGCGTTGCTTGGCGGATTGGGGCTTATCGTGGGCCTTTGTGGCCCGCCCCTCACCTCAACCCGCCGGTCCCCCTAGCCCTAAACCTCACTTGCAAGGTCTGACCAGGCAAGTTTTGCAACGGGGCCCAGCGTTGTCCTCAGGGGATGGGTGCTCTAGGCAGGTGTCAGCAGGGAACCCAGCAGGCTCGCAACATGGCTCATCGAGTGCTCATCGCATTCACCGCCTACGCTTGAGTCTGACCCAGCCTCTCTTGCCTCACGCCTTGCATCAGCCAGGCCGGTGACCTGGAGGGGAGGAGGTGACTTGCCTCAGCTCCCGAATGTTCCTGCACCTCAAGGGTCGTGGCTTCTCTGGGCTATGCATTGCGCTCCTGGCGCTAGGAGTCCACTTTTATGGCCTGGCAGCTGAATCCTCTCCCATCGCCAGGGCCTGCTCTCAGCATACCATGCCGTCGCTGGTACATGTTGACGATGTGGCTGACGTGTCGGTGGAATCTCTTCTGCCGTTCCTCCAGCGTCGTCGGGTCAGAGGCGTCATAATTGGAGGGGGCTCCCCATGCCAGCAGAGTCGGAAAGGGTTGTCTGACCCGCGGGGTTCGGCCCCTAAAGTGCTTCATTCCCTGGTAGCATCATTTCGTGATCATCCTGCCTTTGAGGGATTGCAAATCATCAGTTTTTTGGAGAACGTTGCTAGTGCACCGCAGGACGTTATCCAGCAGTATTCCGCCTGGCTGGGCTGCCCTCCAGTCCGTTCAGATGCCGCATGCTGCGGATGGACAAGCCGCGACCGACTCTATTGGCTAACCAGCCAATCCAAGGATGCTTCGTCTGCTGAGCCTCCTCAGCCCTGGGTGTATCAGCATGATGGCAAGGCTGCAGCACTCCTTGTTTACACTGGCCAAAAGCCAATTCCTTCCCGGGTCTTCCTAGAGGATGGTTTCCCCATGCAGGTCATGAAGGGAGAGGTACCCGCAGCACACACGCTCACCCGGGAGTTTTATCATCCATCTGACCTGGTTCATAAGACCACGCCTGAGGCGGCTGATCGCTTCTTCTCTGATGCAAGAAGGTTCCCTCCGGCTTCTTATGAGGACCATAGTCTGCTTTGGCGTGGTCAGGAATGGAGGCAGCCATCCCCGGAAGAGCGCAGTCAATTCCTGGGTGTGCCGGCAGCAGCCACCACCGCAGTTACAGGGAGACACGCACACAGGGTCCGGGATAGGAATTGTTTGCTGGGCAACGGTTTTCATAGCCCAACAATCATGATCCTCATGTCCATGATTCCCCAACTCTGTCACGGACGCTGCACGATCCCCTCGGGTCCTCAGGAAGCCCTGAACTCGCGCATCTGTAATACAGTTTAGGAGCCCAAAAAATTGGAAGCGTTCCCTGATTTGATGCACGCGGGGGACCTGGTCCGCCACATGCAATCTCAGTTCAGGACATGTCACGTGCCCTCAGGGGTTTGGCACTCTTGTGAGCATAGACTGGCGGTCTGTGACCTGGCTTTGATGCAAGCCTTTCCTGCCTGGCAGCGCATGAGAGGTGCTCAGTACCACCTGTTGCCGCCTGCCATTATTAGTGCCAAGACCCGCACTCGGATCTTCGCAGGGAACACAGGGCAACGCTACTCCTCCGAGCACGCCAAAGGCCTCGACCATTTGCTTCCCCCTGGATTAGGAAAGGAGGGTCATATGGCCGCTGCTCTTCAGCTCAATTCCCCGTTCAGTCCAGTGCGGTGGCCGGACGAGGACGTCCAATTTGTGGCATCCACGGTGGCAGTGTGGCAAGACAGCCTGCCAGCTCTGGCTAGGCGTCAGCGAGCAGTGCTCAAGTCCCTGGCAAAGGCGGTTGAGCCGTTGCGTGTGTGCCTTGCAAAGTTGCTGTGTCCGTGCGCGCAAAAGGTTGCCGCGTCCAAGAATCCCGCTTTTGTTGCCTTGCTGACGGCACTCCTCAGGTGGCCAGACCATGGACAGGCTTCTTGTTTTGTGCACGGCTTCCCGATTGTTGGGGATGTTGCCTTTTCGGGGGTTTTTAGGTTAGTCCCTACCCCAGCTGAAGCCCCACCCGAGAGTGTTAGTGACTGGCTCTTGCGGGATGCTCAGCGAGCAGTGCACGACCTTCTGCATTTGCCTCCCCCTAGGTATGCAGATGATATCCTTGCTCAGACCCTGGCTGAGCGGGATAAAGGTTTTTGCAGTGACCTCTTGACTAAAGATCAAGTGGATTGCCTTTTCGGCCCAGGAGGCTGGCGGCCTATGGAAAGGTTCCTGCTCAGGCAAGGCGATGGGAAGGCTCGCCTGGTGGACAACTGCCGAAAAACTGAGCACAATGCTATTCACACTGTCTCAGTTGATTTCGTGGCCTCATCCATCAGGGATGTTTTTCAAGCGTTGAAGGTGCATGGGCATGTCTCAGATGAGTTGACGCCCTGGTTGAATGTTCGCTTGGGAACAGATGACCTGCCTGATGCATATAGAGGCCACCCTGTGCAAGAGTCGCATATGCCACTCAGTGTGGTAGCCATTTTTGTGCCTAAGCAGGGCTGGCGCTTTACGGTCCTTTATGGACTGGCCTACGGTTTGGAAGCGGCAGTTGTGGCCTTTAACAGGCTCCCCCTGCTAGGTGTTGCGGCGGCTCGCCGCTGTGCGTCATCCTTGTGTGCTGCATACTTTGATGATGAGCTGTCGCTTGAGCTCCTCCTGGGGGCCGATGTTTCCAGGCCAGGTTTGCACCTCGTGTTTTCCTTGCTCGGGAGTCCCCCCCAGCCTCAGAAATGCTTCTTGCCTGCCGCAAATCGTCATTACTTGGGCACATCAGTGCATGTCGGTGATGCTCTGTTGACGGGGGTGGTCCGGTTTCAGCCTAAGTTCCTCACCAAGTGTAAGGCCTTAGGGATTCTCCACGAGGTTTTGTCCTCAGGGCGCTTGGAGAGGGATGTGGCCGGCAAGTTACGGGGGGATCTGCAATCGCTTTTCTCCATGGTTTCCGTCCGGTTACTCCGGCAAGATTGCAGGCCCAGTGCTGCGCATGTTTCAGCAAGGTCCGGATGGTGGCCCGGAGCTCGATCACTATTCGCGTCAGGTTCTTCATGCCTTGTGCAAAATGATCCAGTTCTCAGCACCACGGGAAATCCGTGTGTTAGGGGACCAGTCCCCGATCTTGACCGTGTATTCCGATGCATCTTTCGAGAATGGCACTTTGAGACTGGGGTGGGTTCTCTTTTCGTCTCGCGCCGCTCGCCCAATCGGAGGAACATGTGTGGTTCCATCTGAGGTCATTGCAGACTGGAAAATGCGCACGCAGCAGATCTTCATGGGCGAGACACTGGCAGCCCTTGTGGTACCACTGCTTGAGGAATCCTTCTTCAGGCACACTGACGCGATTTGGTTCGTGGACAACGCTAACGCCGTGTCTTCTGCTGTCTCAGCTTCATCACGTGAGGATGATGTTCATGAGGTCGCCCTCGCAGCTGCATGCTTTCGCACAGCTATCAGCTGTCGTACATGGTGGGAGTGGGTTGACACCCACTCGAACCCGTCTGACGGCCTCAGTCGTCTGGGCCTGAGTGACGGCTGGACGCGATCCCAAAACTGGGACACGAGGGAGTTCGAGTTTCCTGCATCTGCTCACAGATCTCGGATTCTGGACTTTTTGCTGCGATGAAACAGTGGGTCTGCATGCTGTGTGGGTCCCTGTGCTAGAAATTGTGGGTGCATGTGACGTTGATCCATCACTCCTAAAACATTGTACCTTCTTCAGGTGCATGTTTTTGTACCCATCGTCTTAGACGTTTGGAGTCCTTTTGAAGTACTTGATGCATTCTTAAATCTTAGTTGTATGGTTGGTTGGTGTAGGGCCCACTAAGGTTCTGAATGCAGCCACGTCTTCATCTTCGCTTTTGCTTTTCTTGTCCCACCCACCCTCCCTTGATCCCTTAACAGGGTGATTGGTAGGAGGGGTCCTTACTAGGACTTTGAGCGGGCTACTTCAGTCGCTTTTGGGGCGTCTTTGATCCCCTTCTGGGTGCATGTGACGTTGATCCATCACTCCTAAAACATTGTACCTTCTTCAGGTGCATGTTTTTGTACCCATCGTCTTAGACGTTTGGAGTCCTTTTGAAGTACTTGATGCATTCCTATAGCAAGGATTATAGTATGTTAGGGGCCTGTAGGAGAGCACCCCATTTATGGAAATTCCCAAGTGCAGTATGCAGAGCACAAAGTCTGTGGCTTACGTGTCCCTTCTCCAGGTCCTTCAGGTGGAAGTTTTTGCAAATAATCCCCCCTAGAATCCCGAATAGGGCCGCTGCATAATCCCCTTATAGTCCTAAATATTGCCATGGTCCCTAGAACCCTTCATGTTGAGAAACTCCCAGATTGAAGAGCGCAAACGAAGTCGCCAAAGCGCGAGATTGGCAGGCAACCGCAGTCAACTGACAATGGGTGGAGGTAAATCACCGTTAGACTTCTGCAATTTTTTTCTTGAAAGTTTGGCACCAAGGTGCGATGCCAGCAGCGACACTCTCGCCTCCACCCATTGTCCTGGAGGTGCGCCGCGCTCGAATGATTTGTGACCCCGTCTGCTTGGGTAGTCAAGTATTGAACGTCAGAAATATAGATGCGGTATAATTCAGTATAGATGTCATGTTAGTCTGCGGGCCGGCATGGGATTTCTTTTCATGCTTTTGTGCCAGTATGCCTGTCTGACTTATGTGCACAGAAGCCGAAACGGAACAATGACTAGTTGGAACCGTATAAGTCTGCGGCAGATTGACAGGCTACGATTTGTCTCGGGTACGCGCTTGAATGCAAGCCTTGGCTCAGGCCGTGTGGTGGCCCCGGTCACGGATCAGCCAGACAAGCTGGCGCACTACCCGGTCACCTGCACAGGAGTTGCCAAGACGCCCTTCTGGAAGCAGCCAGGCTTCCAGGAGCCCACAACCTCCTCCAGCAATGCCACCTCCAGCGGCACCTCTTCTGGAAATGGCGTGGCTTGGGTCTACACGAGCTGGGATGAGTCCAAGGACCGGCCTGAAGCAATGTTATTTGGTAGATCGCAGAATCCCACATCAACTGCCATGTAGAAGGTTGTTGCATAGGGCGAGTTCCTTTGCAGGAGTGCGAGCAGACCTGTGGTCTCAAAGAAATCCGCGAGACCCGGTCGGTGACCTGCCAGGCCCCGGAGCCCTCACCAATCAGCTTGATGCCGCAGCATTCAGCCGTCGTCATTGCTAGCTGCTGCTCTCTTCTATTTGAACGTCTGGAATTGTCCGGATTTCGACTTCTTGTTGCTATAGCCCAAACTCTTCAGCTAAACGAGCCGAGTCTGATGCAGGTGAAGGGCACTGGAAAGCCGGCGCATCTCAGCTGCCAGTGCTGTGTTGCTTGAGTTGCCTTAGCCTCTGTTGTCGGGAATTCTGAACCAGGCATGATGGTAATAGCAATAGTCCGCCCAACACGTGCTGCAAGAAAGTCTATGTTAAGGGGCCGTCTAAAGTTCTGAATTCTCCCAGACCTCCTCAGACCTCCTCAGACCCTAAATCCCCAAAACCCTCCTGAGCATCTGATCCTCCACCATTCCGCAGAGCCTGCCCAAGGAGGGATTTTTCTTTCATTATGCTCTTTCGAAAAACAGCCCACAAAGATGGTCTACCATGGTAGGTTCGTTAATTTCCATGATGATGAACCAAATTCTTGCCAATATACGTATATATATATATGTAGATATTACGTTCTTGGGTGTTGGGTTTGGGTGTTGTTTGGATACATCAAACCCACAAAGAGACTAACAGTTGGATCGCCCGAGGAGTCCTCAAGCCTTCCCCCGTGCGTGCTATAACAACTTCTCACAATCCTGCCTCTGGATGGTGCGTGAGGGACAGCGCAGGATCGTTGAGATCCCCAAAGCAAGATGTTCAGAGCCGGAGCCCAAGGAGCCCGAGCAGCTGCCCGCAGCCGGAGCCTGCGGCAGAGCGGCTGGTATGTCCGGCCACGAAAGCCTGCGACACGTGCAGCAGAACCTCGGGCTGCGATTGAGACCTCGGGGTAATCTTTTGAATGCCTCAAGGTAGAGGTACAGGAAGAGGCTTCACGACAAGTGGCCCCCCACAAAGCTCCTGACCCATGCATGATCCTTTTAGGCATTTGGTGTGGCACGGACGCAGTGCCTTTGACGACGGTTCCAGACTGCGGCAGCTCGTGCACACGACGCTTCGAATTGGCAAGACAGGATGGATGATAGATGCCAGTCCCTTTGACCAGAATGCACTACGAGACATCATGCTTCAGAACCATTCAGGCATAGTGAGCCCACATTGATCTGCAACACACCAAGTATCAGATGCTTGCTTCCCCAACCCTCGGTTGAAGGAGAGGTCCTGTTGATAGTCTTAGCACTGAGGAGATCTCTGCTGCAAGAAGTGACGCGGACGAATTGAGAAATACCATTGCAGGGGGTCTCTTGCAGTCTTGTTGCAGCCTTTGTTGGTAGACATGACGAAGGGGGAAGTCAGTCTGAGGTTTGCCACTGGCTTCCAGGCGGCAAACGCGGGCGCGAATGCTTCAGCTGCCGGGGTCCTGGAAGAAGAGTCCGGCATAACATTCTTGTGAGTTTAGAAGCAGCATCCAGTGCCCTAGAAGTGCCACGTAGCTCTTCCATGCCTGAAATCTAGACCGCCAATTCAGGTAGCCAACCAGGGCTCTTCTGGTGGGTCGGTGCAGTTTGACGGTGAACCCGTGCAGCCATCAGAGGGTGGCACTTTGGCAGCACTTCATGGGTTCAGCCAGTCAAGTGTTTAGCCAGTCCAATGGCTTCAGATCTACTAGCAGGTAGTAAAGGTCTAGCCTAGAACTATGATCTGCGCCTTTGTGGACTGCGTCTAAGCAGAAACTTTAGCAACAGCTGCTTTGCCTCAAGCCAGGACATTCTTACAACTTGGGCGGCAAGACGGGGCTCGTGCTGGGCGGGACCTCGTCTCCCGAGTTCACAGCAACCTGTCATCTAAAGACAGCCATGTCACCCGCTGAAAGGTTGCATACATGTCCAGGGGACGACATTGGAGTTCGGAAAAAGAACATTCCCGCATCGTATTGCGTTTCACGGCAAGGGGAGAGGTGTTTAGTAGAACTTGCAGAGGGGACTGGAATACTGTTGCTGATCTCCAAGGCAGTCATTTACGTCAAGCTGATCGGGACCGACAAGACCCAGGAGCAGACCGTGATGCTCAAAGAAGGCGCGAGGAAATGCCCAGGCGTTGTAATACTTATAGTCGCCTTAAGTAGATCGAATATGGCTTTGGGTATGTTAAATAAGATCCCCACATGCACCATTCTATCTACTTAAGGGGGACTATAAGTGCCCCCCAAAAAAATCAAGACCTTGTTTTTACGTACGCTATGTACGATTTGATTTGACGTCCGTAGCTCTGCAGGCTCTGCTGCTTGGTGTGCGCCAGGGATCTTGGTAGCCCCCAGTAGCAATGGCCTGGTCAAAAGTCGAAAAAGCTCGGGATATTTGTCATCCAGAAGCCACGTCTGGCTGGACTTGCAAAGCATGGCTTTGGTTTCTTCCTGTAACACCATTGCTATCACTATTATTACTAGTATTACTATTACTATTATTACTACTATTATTTGTATTATTGGAATTACTATGGTTATTACTATTACACTTGCGTAAGATGTTGTGTGCAGGTGGGCCGGGCGACTCTGGAGCATGGGAGCTGATCGCGACGCCGCAGAAACAGCTGGGGGTTCGATCGTTCAAGGACGGTCATATGCTAGCATAGCCGTATGTAAAGAATTCTGGCTTGCCTTTGACCATGGTAGGCTTTCAGCAGCAGAGCGCTAGCACATGTGTTTGCAAGCCCTCCGCTTTCTCGCATGGGCTACCAGGATTCGACATCCCAGACCTCCATCGGATGTGTTTGCCAACATGCCTATGCGGATCAGTGGGCAGCAGCATCAGCGCCCTAGCTTTGCTGTTTTTTGTTTTTCGCAAGAAGCTTGAATCGCGGTCCAGGGGATACAAGGTTGAGTCGAGGACAAGATCCTGCAGTGACATCCAGCATGTGTGGGCCTATGGAGGTCCTTTCTGGATCCACGTATCCAGTAGTACCAGGGTCTCTGATTGTGAGGTGCGCTACGACGGAATCCAGATCGAGCTGGTTGTCAACGGCGAGATCTGCTGCACGACATCGGCCGCTGATGAAGCTAAGCGCAAATCACACGATCTGGGGCGCAACCCATACCACAAGTGCAAAGACATTACCCTTTCTGTGCACCCTCTGGGCAGCCCAAATCCATTGTAAGGGGCACTTACTGCTTACTGACTTACGGTCTAAAGAGTTGTGCAGAGTATTCCAGCAGCATGAGTTTGATCGCTTTCGCATGTGATTCACCTTTGCTTCTTGGTCTGAACTTCTTGGCTGGCTGATGGGTTGCCTGCTTTCCCTGTCTCCCTGCCCTGTCCTTCCTAAGTCCCAAACCACTGAGGAGCTGCTGTGGGCTGATGATGCAATCTCAAACAGCAGCTGGGCAGGTTTAGGATTTAGGGTTGCTGATGTACAGCTCTTTTTTTTTTCAAATGTTGCTGAGCAATTGCTGCCTGTGATCTTGCATGAAGGGTAGGGCCAAGTAGCCTCTTTTTCAGGGCAGCTATATATA